ATGGACTGCATCTTCTCCATCTTTTATATTATCTTCACAAAGGGTTTTAATTTCTTATTTTATATGGCCTTAAGTCATCATTCACAGACTCTTCAGGCCAACCATTCATACAGTGCTCATATACTTTTATTAAGCACTCATCTTTTTGTGTTTCTCTTTTAATATCATTCACATTTATATTGGAGTTATCCATGATAGTGAAGAGAACAAATACATCTTCTGGTACATAGCTAAGGCTTTGGTTTTTTAAAGGTAATCTACTAAGACTATCTGCACTATTCTCAGATCCAGGTTTGTATTTCAATTCATAATTGTATGCAGTTAGTGTGATAGCCCATCTTTGAATTCTTGGTGAGGCATGCTCAGGTAGGGTTTTGTTTTCTCCAAATAAACCTAGCAATGGTTTATGATCTGTAAAGATGGTGAGCTTCCTACCAAACAGAAACTTATGAAATTTCTTAACACCAAAAATGATGCCTAAGCCTTCCCTATCTAACTGAGAATAATTTTTCTCAGCCTGGTTCAAAGATCTACTGGCAAAAGCAATGGGTCTGTCACCCTTCTCATCCATGTGGGACAAGACTGCTCCTACACCATCTGGTGAAGCATCACATGTTAATATAAGTCTTTTCCCTGGGTCATAGTGAGTTAGTAAGGTGTCAGAAGACAAAGCCTCTTTTGCTGTATTAAAAGCAGTATCTTGTTGTTTACCCCAGTGCCAAGTTGCATTTTTCTGTAGCAGCTTGTACAGTGGTGATAGTTTACCAGACAGATTCCCTATGAACTTTGCATAGTAATTTATCAAGCCCAAAAAAGCTCTTAGTTGTTGGGTATTTTCAGGTTTGGGTGCTTCTTTAATGGCTTTTGTTTTCTCAGGTTGAGGTCTGATGCCTTGTTTGCTCAATATATAACCAAGAAAACTAATTTCTGTCAGCATGAATTGACATTTATCTTTGTTTATCTTTAAACCTTTTTCACCAACAATTTTCAATACTTTATCAAGTGTTTTAAGATGTTCAGTGTCATTCTTACCAGTTATGTACACATTGTCAAAGTACACACAAACATTTGGAATATCCTTAAAAATACTGTCCATGACAGCTTGGAAAATTCCAGGGCTAGATGATATGCCAAAACATAGTCTTTCATATTGGTAGAGTCCTTTATGTGTGTTTATTGTCGTATAGACTTTTGAATCTGGATGCAGTTCTAGTTGAGTGTAAGCATGACTAAAGTCTAATTCAGTGAATTTGTCTCCTCCTGCCAAATTCAAAGAAATTTCCTCAATGTTAGGTATAGGGTACCTATTTAGCTCTATTTGCTTATTCAGTGTAGTTTTATAATCTCCACAAATTCTTATAGAACCATCCTTCTTTAACACTGGCACAATGGGCGTTGCCCAATCGGAATAGTCTACCTTCTTTATAATGCCATTAGATTCCAATCTACTTAGCTCATTTTCAATTTTATTCCTCATTGCATAAGGTGGAACTCTAGCTTTGCAGTATCTTGGATTTGTGTCTTTAATGCTTAACTTCACTGTTCTATCATTTAGTAATCCTGGATTACTAAAAACACTTTCATTTTCAGATATAACTTTATCTAGTGAAGTAAGACTAGATTCTTTTACATTCTTCAATGAACAAATACTCTCCCAATTTAACTTAAGATCACTTAACCAGTTCCTACCTAGTAATGGTGGTCCATTTCCTTCAACCACAAGAAGAGGAAGTTTAACACTTTGACCATTATAACTTACATGAACCATACACTCTCCTATTACCGGAACATTGTCACCAGTGTATGTTGTTAGACACTTGTGACACGGCTGTAGAGACACTGATCCTCCTGTGACAGCGTCAAAATCTTTCTTTGTTATGACTGTTAGAGATGCTCCAGTGTCAAGTTGGAAGCTGATGCTCTTACCGTTGATATTAACTTGTACATTGATGGGAGCATGACTTATTGATTTCACAGAGAACAGGTTGAAATCCGGCTGCGAATCAGTTTGAGCATTTTCACAGGTAGAGTGGTTCATTGGTTGGGTTAGGTAGTCTTGGTGAGAGTTAACATAGTGCTGCTTTTGGTTGCGGTACTGTCTTGACTGACTAGATTTAGCAACAGACGAAGACTTTGCAAAGCAGGCCTTGGCAATGTGACCTTGCTTACTGCACTTATAACAAGTTGCAGACTTGAACTTGCACCGATGAGATGCATGGGGACCTTTGCATCGATGACATTTTTGATAATTATTACTAGATTTAGATCTAGGATTTGAACGAGCAGGCTGTTTAGCATAAGTTGGAATGCTCTGATGGGGTTGATGTTTATTGACTAACCTGCTGTTTACTGCATGGATCTCTGAAGGTGCTAGAGATTTTGCCGCCTCGGATGACTGCTGGAATAAAGTTGCGAGTTGTATTGCTTTTTCTAATGTTAGATCTGACTCGAGCAGCAACTTTCTTTGAATATCAGGGCTGTTTACACCTGTCACAAACTTTTCACATAATCTGTCAGACAGCGTGTCTCCGAATTCACAAAATTCACTTAAATGACGTAAAGCAGCAACATATTCTGATATTGACTCGTTTGGTTGACGAGTCCTACCGTCAAATCTAGCTCTACATAGAAACTTTGATGGTACAGGCGCATGGTGGTCTGTTAGCAATTTGCTCAGCTCGTTAAAGCTCTTGGTAGTTAGACTAGCTGGTGCGCATAAGTCTTTTAGTAGCCTAAATTGTTGAGGCCCTATGACTGTTAACAAAACAGCTCTCTTTTTGGCTTCTATCGTCACGTCGTTTGCTTCAAGGTAAAAGCTTAACCTATCTAGGTAATCCTGAATGATTTCATCATTCGAATCAAATTGTTTTATTTGTACATACTGCGCCATTATTCTAGAAATACTTAGCTAATAAGCTCTAGCAAACCTCTTTTTTGCGTAAGTAATGCTCTTTCTAGTAGATGTTTATCCTTCGTCGCCAATATGTGATAGATTGGCAAACACTGACGAGGAGCCACATTGGTTGTTAACAGTCTTTATTTACAGCCATGATGGAAAGAGGAAGTACAATGCACAAGGGACATCACTCAAGATAACAATATAAATATAATACTAATACAGAAGAGTGAGTTCCCTTGACCTCACAATTATCTCAATCTATTACAGGAAATAGCGTAAATTAGTACTTCCGGTCAACGGAAATTACTCAAAACTTGAAAGAAGGTAGACAATTAGATCTTTCACTTACATGTGAAATTTCATTGATCTATCTGAAATAGTACTCAAGTTATAGGCTTTTGAAAAATTCAAAGTAGAAAAAGTACCGCTTCCGGTTATCGGAAATCGCTCAAATGTTGATCAGGATCTACGATTTTGATAAAATACTTATTAATGATATTTCATCAACCAAGCTGTAACGGTACTCAAGTTATCGTGTTTACACACAGACACAATTGCAAAATTGTTTTTCCGTATCAGTGAGGTGTAAAACGTCGAGATTTGTAAAAATCTCGATTTTTTTTGCACGATTACAATACTTTCTCTATACTTCGTATTTACGAGAAAGTAAAAACAGAACTAGACTTGAATTTCTAAGTGGCATAGCATGCAGTTTACCATACTAGGCCCTATTATTTTCTATTTTGTAATATAACTTTATTATTAAAACTGGTTTTCAATAAATATTAAACATTTATGTAATTGTAGTCTTTTTTATATAAAACTTGTCGGCCTTTTGGATGTCGACCTTTTAGCAGTCGGCCGTTAATCCGGATTACATATAATAGTGTTTGATCGGCTGTGCGCACATGGTCTTTAATATATATTACTAGCTGCGTACCTGTGCTCCGCCACGGTGAATCTTTTTTAAATGTATCAACTTGGGAACAGAACAAAACTAAGCACAAAACACAAAAGATAGCACAAACACAATACAAAATCAAACAAACAAAAACACAATGCAAAAAAAATAATACAAAAAAAAACCAAACCAAAACGCAAACACACACGCTAACGCATAACATAAACACAACTTAAATGCAAACATAAACGAATAGTGTTCACAGTCTAGCCCGGTGCGCCAAATCGCACCCTGCGGGGACGCCGGCGGAGCCGCCTGATTCAACTTAATAAACGACTATAATACCCTAACTTATTCATAAAATAAACAAAAGGCAGCATTTTAGCTATCCGTGTTTTTCCTACCACGGTGCATGTTATCAATCCATGCTAATTTTAATATTCTAACAATGTCCTTTTGTACGTCCGCAGAATTTGCATTCACATTTTTAATTAGCGTGAGTTGAATTTCTTTTAAGATTGCCTCCCTTGGCCTTTTGTCCGGATCCCAGATAATAGTGTTTCATCGGCTGTGCGCACATGGGCTTTAATATATAATACTAGCTGCCTACCCGTTCTCTGTATCAACTTTGGAACAGAACAAAACTAAACCCAAAAGAAAACACAAATACAATGCAAACACGAACGCAAAAAAAAAAAACAAACAAAAACAACAACCCGCAAACACAAAAGAAAACACGAACACCAAAGAAAACAAAAACACAATGCAAACACAAACGCACAAAAACACAATAAAAAACGCAAACACAACACACAAACGTAAACAAATGCAAACACTATGCAAAAAAAAAAAAAAACACAAACCAAAAAAGCAATCACAAATGCTAATGCAAACCCAACACTTAAACACAAACCTAAACTCAGACAACAATGCATTACATAAACACAAACTTAAGTGCAAACATAAACGCATAGTGCTCACAGTATAGCCTGAGGCTAATCCTAACCCATAGCGCTCACAGGATAGCCCATCCTGCAAAATCAGGGAGCCTTTCCAGCATTCTCTAAAAGTCTAATTTCACCATCCGTTTTAATAACACATAAATACAAAAACAAACAATATAGATTTTGAGAGATCATAGACTGCTATTTAGAACACCACAACCAAGATGATAAACTAATTAACACTAACAAAGGCTCATTAAGAGTTACAGTAAAGGTTTATTACTGTAGATCTGATGGCGATTTAAATTGTCATACAAATCAAGGTCACTTTCCATCAACTACTAAGACAAGACTTTCTCCTGCCACACAACCTAATAAAATACAACTATCCAAATTCTGGACTTGATCTTTTTTTTACTCCAGCAACAAGTCTTACATGAAAGTTAACGGCTTTAATTCTACAAGAGTCCAAACACATTATTCTTTCACAACACTAATACGCTTATTCTCCAAATGCATTACACCCACTCTCTAACATGTAACAATACTGACCACAAGAACAATAAGGGGCCACTTTTGTATTTATATCATTTTTCATCTTTAATTTAATTTTTTTCTTATAATTATATTTTTGGTCAATGTATCCATACATAATATTTTTTTAATAAGCTACATCATCCAAACATTTTATTCATATAGGCCGACTCAGTATGTTTTGCCTGCATGGTTCATGTGAAGTAAAATTATTTTATAGAGACAACAAATTTACCAGTAAAAAAAAAGCCACTAATGTATTAAAATTCAGATTGTCTTTGAAATTGCTTGATTGTGTGCGATATCTAGGTCTACCAGATTTGGTTTATTTTCATCATATAATTTCAACAATTTTTTAATGTTAGCAGTGATGTGGTCTGATTCAGGTATAAACTGCAGGAAAAGAAAATTTGTAACATGTAAAGCATGAAATTCTAAAGACACATTTGGAATAAACAAAGTATAAAACCATAAAAATTCACCACCAAAAGGACAATGATTAGTTGTAACATCAAAGGTTTCTATTTTGTATCACTATCATTTGATATGAGCTTAATTATGGTGGACACTAGCAGTTAAACCCAAAACTATCATAATTACCGACCTCGATTGAAATAAATTCTTCTCCTGGATGAATCATCTCTTGTGTACAAGCTTGATTTAACTTCAGCCACATATAATCAGGACTACAACATATGAAGGAAGTAATTGCTTCCATGGCTGCCTGAAAGGTTAATAATAAAATTTAAAAAACAAAACAAAACTTTATACTAGTTAGCTTTTAAAAAGGCACTGAAAATATGAAAAAAAAGCTAACTTGCTAACTTTAATAAAGCTTTGGTCGCTAAAATATGTTTATGTAAGAGATCTCATGCGCCACTAAAGCAAGTTTGTTTTTATTTTCTTAGTTGAATAGCATTTGACTGCTTATTATTATAAAAGTTTTTTCTACACATAATACATCTAATATATAATGTTGAATTCTGTACGTATGTGGAGGACAGCGGATCCATTATTACAAAGGATTAGAAGAAAAAAAAAGACTTCATCGCCATAGTGTTATATATCTAAAGTGCTCTTCGTCTAAATGAATAAAATAAAAAATTAATATTGAATGTGTTGTAAAACAAATTTCATTTTTAAAACAATTGATTTACAAGATTTGCATCAAATCCACAAAGAACAGACATTCTGAACTAAATAAAAACGTATAGTGTTAATTTACAGCATGTGCTTTAAACAAAATTAAAGAAAACATATCATCCTTAACATAAATTCTAATTGTGTCTGAAAATGATTTACATTTAGTCCTTTAGTACTCATTACGTCCTAAAGTCCTTTGATAAATTAGGAAAACACAATTACTTCCCTTTAAAAAACAATTACATCTGGAAGATGGGTGGGAATATACTTTTTATTACTTTGTTTTGGTGTTGGGAAAAAATGAAATACATAATTACAGTGTTTCTTCCAGACTTTTTTCTCCGGGGGGGGGGGGGGGGAAAGGAGGGCTCCGCTCAGGCTAGAAACAAACCAACCTTGACCAAACTGTAAACAGCCATGTGCAATCGCTAGTATTTAATCACATCTCCCCCTTTATGATTGAAATTTGTAACTTTTTAATTATAATTAGTTTAAAAATAAATAATTTTGTATTGACATCGGAGATCAAATCAATGTATCTGGAAAGTTTGAGCAAAATCGGTGCATTTTACTTGGTCACAATTGATTTACAAGATTTGCATCAAATCCACAAAGAACAGACATTCTGAACTAAATAAAAACGTATAAAAAGGACAAATGCTTTTGTTAGAAAATGAAGTCCAAAATCCAGTTTAAAACCAAAATAATTTACCTTCTGGAGAGGCATTGGCTGCTTATCGTTTAAATATGGAAGATACACTTTTAGCACAAGATCTAATTCATTATCAAGAAGTTGCATCTGAAAATAAAATTATCCGTTATTTACGTAGCCACTTTAAAGCAGTAAATGCTTGAAAAAGAACAAATAAGATGGAACACCAAATGCTAATAGGATGCATCCATCATCCACTTGGATAAGACACAATTTATGCATTTCAATAAATCCATCTGAAGTTTAAAAAACATTTTCTAATACATTCGTATCAAAACAAAATAAATCCATTAGTTAATATATAAGAAGGGTTTCATCCATGCGTTACCAGTCCTATATTATATTCTTAAACGCGTGACCTTGTTTTTCTAAAAGTGAGTTATGTAAATGTAAACAAATATCAGGACACGGGTTAACATACACTACCACATGAAAACCTTGAGTGTACATTAATCACTTACCGAAATAATATAGTAGAACACACTTCAGTGACCGTCCATGTGTCAGAGACGTAGAGGGGCGCTGCCTGTTGTAATGTGGTCCAGTCTAGTATCGTTTATTCAAGTCGTCCGATGTATATATTATAGTGCAATAAACAGAAACAGTAAACAAGGTCGTCCTGTCGAATCATTTATATACGTTAATGTCGTCGAGTTTCAAGATGAACTACTGAATGGCAAGATATAATAAAATGGTAGTGGTATTTGAATATATTATTGGATCAAGTAGTTCAATCCTCAGGCGCCATCGTGCCAAATAGCATCCTGTTAACAATGATGCAGATTGCGTCATTCGCTAAAGTGACACAAATGAACAGGATTTTTTATTTAACAAAAAATTATTTGACGTGTTTTAAACATCAGTATGACTGATGCAATATATTAGCGTTACTAATGGTCTATTGATCTTACTTTAGTTATTTTTTCTGATTATTAAAATAAAACGTATTACATGACATTCAGCGGCCCATGTGAGCCTTTGGGGGCCGAAACAGAAATGTTTATTTGCAGCCAAATCGCACCTTATCAGGGCGCCGGCGGATTCAATTTAGTATCCTATCCATTGTTTATCACACTATTTAGACCAAACATAGTTGCCATAACGCTCAGGGGGTAAAGACCATCTTGCCGGGGGCCGCCCATGCAAAATTAAATCCCCCCTCCCAAACAGACACATTCATTGCATTATATATATATATATATATATATATATATATATATATATATATATATATATATATATATATATAAAGCAATGTATGTGTGTGTGTCTTGGCGCGATTATTTTCTCTATATGCGGTATATAAAATAAAAAAAAAAACGATTTTGGTTTGACTCCGTTCATCCGATAGCCATGAGACTTTAGGGAGTTGATCAGAACAGTCTGAGGCACGATTCTGTAAAAAAAGTCATTTTTAGTTTTGCAAGAGCGATTTTTCTCTATGTACGGTTTATAAAAAAAGTGAAAAAGAATTACAGTGACACCGTTCACACGATCGCCATGAAACTTTGGGAAGATGTTGAGAATACTCCTTGGGAGGTTTCTGAGCAAAAAGCATTTTCAAATTCGCAGGGGTGGCGCCCCGGCAGGGCACAATTTGTTTTTACTCTACATATACGGTGTATAAAAATATAAGTCGATTGTGGTTTGTCACTATTCATCCGATCGCCATGAAAGTTTAGGTAGTTTATGAATACTCTACTCTGGAGAATGTTTCGGGGGGGGGGGGGGAGATTTTATTTTGCACGGGCGGCCCCGGCAGGATGCAATTTGGCGACTACGTTAGTTCTAAACAGTATGATAGACAATGGGTAAGATGGGGCGCTACAGTCGCTTACTTAATTGAATCAGGCGTGTCCACCGGCGACCTGGTAGGGTCCAATTTGGCTGCAAACATAAATTTCAGTTTCGGCCCCCAAAGGCTCACATGGGCTGCTGAAGGCCCTGTTAAATATTTTTTTAATAATCAGAAAAATTAACCAAGGTTAGATTATTGACTGGGTTGTTTCCTTTTATTTGTAAAAAAGTCCAAACCGTTTTGTCACGTTGCGAATGATACAATCAGCATCTATTTTTAGACGATCCAATCAGAAATTAAGATTAAGCTTCTAAAAATACACCATTAGTAATGCAACGAATTGCATCAGTCACACTGATGTTTATAATCCTGTTGATTTGTATAACTTTAGCGAATGACGCAATCTGCATCATTGTTTCAGGATGCTATGTGGCGTTCTGGGTTATCCTGTGAGTACTATGGCGCCTATGTTAGTTTTAAGGAGCCAGGGGCCGTAAGCGCAGCATTGCGGTAGTGTAATCGGGGGCTCCAGAGAGCGCCCTATAAATCACTGACACATGGGTGGTCAGCGAAGTGTGTTCTACCTCATTATTTCTGTTAGTGACTAACGTACACTCAAAATTTGCATGGGATAGTGTAGGTAAACCCGTGTCCGATATATATGATTCAAGCGCAGGCATTGTTTACATTTAAATAACTCACTTTTACAAAACAAGGTCAGGCGTCTAAGAATATATGATTGGTAACGCATTGATGAAACCCTTCTTATATATTTCGACAGACTTTCTTCTATTCCCGCGGCAACTCGCGGGGACGGGTACGCTAGTGTATATATATATATATATATATATATATATATATATATATATATATATATATATATATATATATATATATATATATATTTACACAGAGAAAAAGAGAGGCTGCAACTACATAACTAGAACAGCATCAATACAATTCTCTCTATTTATTACATAAAATTACTAAACCCACTGAGATACTAAGTAAAAATTGATGTAGTTACATTTTTTGCAATAGGGCCAAGTATGGTTAGCACACAAATCTGAAGCTTGAAATTGCGTGTCAGATGATAACTTTGTGTCTGTTCACAGCTAAAAATAAAATGATATTACGTTATGTTTTAAGTTGTTTATTAAGAGTAAAACTACTGAGTCTATTTTAAATTTGCTTTTATAGCTAGTTTTTGGTGCATTATTTTTTTGGTGAAAATTAACATGACTTATACAAAACAAAATTTAAAAACTTTTGTTGTTCTATAGTAAAATCAGACCTTTAAAAGATTTTTATTGGCCTTGTGGGTAATATTGCTCTAAAAAATAAAAGTAAGTGTATCTTTTTCAATTTGAATGTTAATATATTAAACGGCTTTGGTTAAAAATTACTAAAAAATTTTTTTTAATATAAATAAGATGCACTAACCTAGCATGAGCTTGCTTCTCCATAAATGAGTGTAAAATTGGTAAAACTTCTTTCAATATTCTTTGCCTTAAGAATTCACCAGCTATCTTTGTCAATTCTAGTAGTGTTTTTAATGCCTATAAAACATAAATAATTTTTTGGAATTATTAGTAAATTGGTAATGGAAATAATGAATGTTAGAGTGGTTATATATAAAATACTCCAGATATAAATTACTAATGCAATTTAAACTGACCTTAATAGTGATAATAGTTTCATCCTGGAAAAACTGTAAAACCATTCCAGGCCATATCTTGTGTACAAGGGGAAGAACTTCACCTGATTTAAAAAAGTTTTTGCAATAGCATCAACCTGAATAATTTAATTATTTATTACAAAAATAAATTGCTAACTAAGCTTAGTTTTTTATTGTTATAGGCATTAAGTTTAAAAATTCCATTTTAGTCTCACTTTCATAGGCATCTAAAACTTGAGAGCCAATAATAATAATATCTAATGCCATAATTCTAAAACGAAGTTCTTGGCAGGATAAAAGGTTTCTCGTCCTGCAAAAAATCTGTTGAATATCAAAATTTCAGTGTTATTTGAGAGAATAAATCATTGATGTAATACATCTATTGACTATTAAATGTGTCTGAGTGAATAAATCAAGAAAACAGTGATATATGCAGAATTTTGTGGTAAATTCAAAAGAGATTTTATTAATAAAATAAAAATTATCAGTTTATTTTGTCTGTAGTGGGAGCCATAGACGTAGCTAGGGAAGGGGGGATGGGAGGCTGCACCAGGCCCGACCTTGGGTGGGTGCTTTTTTGCTAATGTGAATAACTATATAGGTCTGATAGGAGTAAGTAACTCAAATGTGCCTTAAATAGAGACAAAAAAATGCTATGTCTTGCAAGCATCGTATGACCATCATGTACTGCCATGACTTTTGGTTGTCAACAAAGTTTATGCCTGTTTGCATATTTGACAAAAGAGAAATATTGCATACGTCAACATGATTAAGAAAATGTTGAACTATTCAATGTCAAAATTATTCTCTTAGCCTCATGGAACATTAAATATTAATATTGGTGGAGTAAATACAATTAATTAATTTTTTTAAGGTAAGGGAGGTAATTTAATGAGAGATAAATGTACTATTATTAACTTAGCAATGTAAGTTTATATCAGATGCGTAGCGACACCTCCCAGCAACAGGGACAAGCTTTCAATTTGGCCCCCCCTAGCCCATATATTTTTTTTTTATAATTCAAAACTGCAACTAAAATGAGATTTTCATTTTTTTCTTAACCCATTTTGGCGCCCCTAGGGTCAACGCCCGTGGACATATGTACCCATCCGCCCCCCTTGGCTACGCCTCTGGTTTTTATTTAGTTTCCATTTTTTTCTTTAAGTGCTAAGCGCACTAAGTTTATGTAGATTAAAGGTTTAATACTATGTTTATTATTTTCCGATAGTCAGACCTTTGTGGTAACTAATAATAATAACTAATAGATTAATACATATTTGTTTTTACTAATTCTTGCTGATTGTGTTGTATTAATTTACTTGTGATTGTTAAATTAGTTTTCAGGGTAAGATTATGATATTTGCAATGAACCAGGTTAAGGTTTTCGTGGCTATATCAAAATGAAAATCACAAACTTTAAATTCATTAATATTAGAATTCAACACTACGCAAAAACTGATGATAATAATTTTCTTATATTAACAGGCCTACTACTATAACATTCTTTTAATTGGTAAGTCACAATAAACTAACTAGGAATCATTGCAACAAAATGCACTTTTTGACTTGGTAGGTTTGTGTTATATTATGAAGGGGTGGTTCAGGTGTGATTACCAGGATGGAACAGTATAGGGGGTGGACATGGTGAGAGAGTGGTTTTTGTGGCTTGATGCATCTAATATAATAAATATTAGAGCGGTATCTATTATAAATTTGTTTGTTTCTTTATAATAAATAATTGACAATAAAATCATTTAATTTTTATACCACATTTTCCATCCTTAGCAACTGACCTAAAAAAATGAAATTTTAATAAAACAAATTATTTTTTAACCTGTCTTCCGACAGGCTTTGCTGCTAGATCTATTGTGTAATGATTTGAAATGTTAATAGTGAATCTAATTTATTCAAAATAATGTAATTTTGGTGAGTATATTTTTTAAGCATCATTTAACATGAAATTCTTTTAACAGGTAGAAATATTTGGGATTTTATTAATATTGGTTTTTTATGATTTGGGTTTTGTGTTAGTTTAGTTAGTGTTTAAGCCAAATTGTTGTTTTACTCTGCTTTATTAAAATAAATTATGTATTAATTTAACTTATTTACAATATATTTCATGGATAACTGTGCTAACTATACTAATGGCAAAATGTGTAATTGAATATTTTCTAGACAAAACTTAAATATCTATTTCACCTTAAAATTTACTATGTGAACTTACTTCTTTAATGATGTGGATATGTTTCGGGGTAGTTTTCCTTTGGTCATCTTTCAACAAGCTTGTCTCTTTGCACTCATGCTTTTTTGTATCATGAGCTTGTGTAGACAACCATGAATTTAAACCAAGTTCAATATTTTTTAATGATGCTTCCTGTTGTGCATTAAGATCCACTATTTCTTCACTAAGCTCATCATCTAATATTCTTTTATTTTTCACATAATCATTTAGAGATGAAACTATATCTTGGACTTCTAAAGTACTTGAAATTGGAAGACTAATCTTTTCCTTAAGAAATAAAAAATAGTTATCAAAGAGATTTAATTTGATATAAAAAATAACTTTTAAAGTGTTATAGTTAAGTGGTCATAATGTTGAAGGAACATAATACTAGAAGCATGGAGAACAAATAAACTATTATACATTGAACACATTTTTCCAAATATATTATTTTATTTTAGTAACATTATTAACTTTTAAACTAATATTTTTCTTTACACCTGAAAGTAAAAATCTATGATACATGTACTGATAAACTGCGTAACAAGATATACATATGGTTCAGGCTATAAATGCATGGTGTTGAAATTTTTTGTCACTGTGCTTCCAGAAAAAAAACAATTTTAGTTATTTAGTATATCCTGGGCCCTTTTAGGGTTAACTCCATGTGACTGAACAAAAAGCAGCAAGCAAATGAAAACATCTCATACACTGCCAAAGTTCTTAGAAATTGAGGGTTGAAAGCAAAACAGTTATTTTTAAGATATCATAAATTTTTTCTCTCAATATGTGCATATATAGATCTATATAATATATGTAGCTATTTTAAAAAAAATTAATTAATTATCTGATTTATGTCACAGTTCTTGTCAAGTTATTTGTCTATAGATCTTTATCTACATCTCAAATTTTGAAACTAATTGATTTGTTAGATTAAGACTATGACAGAAGAGACAAAGCACAAGGTCTTGTGTAAAATATATAAGAAAATAAACATTTTTTTGTTTAATTGTAGTAGAAATGACTTGGTCAGTCAATATTTCAATAAATTACAGGAATTGGTGCTTTGACAAATAAAGCTTAGAAAAAGTTTTTTTGAGTAGCATTTAAAAGTTTACAATTTAAAAGTTTTAATTATTACTTTAAAAGAACAAAATTGACTTTTTAATATATTAAGTAATACACAAGCTATGTCTTACATGACTTAAAGCAATCCGTAAAACTAAAAAATGTTTAAAACTATTGTAGAACTGTATAAAATAAAACTAAAATATGTTTTACAATTCCCTAAACACTCATCAATAGTCACTCTTACAAAAACTTTTAAAATACAAAATCCATTTTTGTGCAAATATTCATCAAGAAAGGTTAAGTTGGAAAGCAAAGGAAAAATATTTCAGTTTTCACAACACCAAGTTACATGAATCTGACTTTATAAAAACAAATATGCATGACATCCCGAGTCTTGTCACCAAAGTATAAGGTTCAAATTTAACTACATTAACCAATGAGATGCATTAAGTCCTTAAAGATAAATTCACCTCTTTTGTCTTTTCCTCTGGGAACCAGCGTTTAATTGATATTACCAGTTCCAAAAGAATTGGCAGAAATATAATGAACCCCTCAGTGTATGAATCATCAAGGCTTTCAAAAATCTAAGATAAACAAAATAGTGTGTTAAAAATGGTTATAAACAAAAGTGCCAATTCATGTGTACACACTTTAATTTCAAAGCTTACAGCCTTTGACCTAATACAACTATAAAATTGCAGTTTATACTTGGGGACTAAAAATCTCAGTTATTTAAAATCGTTTTTCACATACCTGGGAAATGTTATAATCAATAAGATATAACATATTGCTAGAACAATATCTCATCATGACACAGAGTGCCTGTGCTGCTCTGCTACTTTCATGGAAATGTCGAAGTCTCTTAGAAATACTTGTAACAAGGTAGTCTGAATTTTCTTGTAATAGTTGATCTAAAGACCTATTTCAATTTTATTTAAAGATAGACACAGTTACTATACTTCTCACATTCATGTATTACATTTTAATATGGTCCAGTTTACAAATAATCTTCTAAGGGTTGAAACAATTTTATAACATACTGAAAGTACAAACCTGTAGCCACAAGCAGTGGCAACCTCCACCAAAGATGAATAAGCTGTATTATTGATAAAAACATTTTCATTTCCTAGACTTTCAATTAATGGATACAAAGTTCGAACAAGATGCTTCCTGAAGTTATCCCCTAGAACCTGTTACAAAAAGGTATATTAATGACTGATCGAAAATCCAGTTTCACTTTAAAACCTTTAAAATGGTTTAATCCAGGGGTCGGCAACCTGCAGCTCGCGAGCCGCATGCGGCTCTTTTGATATCAAGATGCTCTCCAGCTCCTTGAACAAATACTAATAATCTTAATAAAAAATAAAATATTTGAAATGAAAAAAATGTTAGTGGCTCTTAAAAACTAGGGAAATTTTGAAAAGTGTAACTTTTGGCTCTTCCGCTTCAAAAGGTTGCCAACCCCTGGTTTAATCTAATATATATATAGTTCAATTCAGTATGTATGTAGGTATGTATGTATGTATGTAACCAAGGATATTTCAAAGGAAGAAAAGAAAAAAAATAATACTTCTATTGCCTCAAGTGTTAAATGTCTAAAGTGTTCATCATCTAAATTCATAGTTTAAAAAATTAATACTGAAATAATTTTCATTTTTTATACTGATAGTAATAATTGTTGGCTTGTTCATTAAACAAAATTAAAAAAAAAAATCATCTTTTACAGCATTTTTAATTATGTCTGAAAATTATTTATATTTAGTCCTTTAGCACTTATTACTTCCCTTGATAAATTAGGAAAACAATTACTTCCCTTTAAAAAAACCCATTATATCGGGTGGAAAAGAATTTATTTTTGTTACTTTGTTTAAGTGTTGGGAAAAAATAATTACATAATTAGCGGGGATTAATCGAGATTTATAAAAATCTTGTTTTTTTTTTTTTTGCACAATTACAAGACTTTCTCTATACTTTGTATATACGAGAAAGTAAAAATATATCTTTATTTTTAAAAAATACAATAACATTTTTAATACTAATTAAAGTCATGTAATCAATTGCAGGTAAAAGTTGATTAAATTTGTTTAACCTTATTTTAAAATAGTGTTCAGGAATTTTTGAAAAACTATTACCTGATGTGCTATTGCCTTTTAAGAGTTTCTAGGAAAAAATAAAGCAGTTGTCTTAAAAAGTCAAATGCTAAAGTTGAAACCATCAAGCTCTGAATGACATAAAAAATTGGTAATGGGCTGTTTACCAATGTAACTAATGCAAAAATAAGTTTATCGCAAAATAAATAGGTTAACATAATCTACTAGATCACTGGTTCTAATCTTTTTTTTTTTTGCTGGCAACCCCTTTATTTACGGAATTAGGTTCGGAATGAAATTTTTTCTTAAACATTGTGTTACCATATTGCTTTTGGCACACTTAAAGCATATGTCGAGGAAAAATTTAGTTTAGTTTATTTTTAATGACCCAAACATATATGGGTACTTATAAGTACAGTCAGGAATGTAGGACATTTTTTCCAAAAAATAAAAAAAATTACAAAACAGGAACAAACAATACAATTTATTAACTAATAACATGGCAATCATTATAACAATCTTTTTTTTTATAATTTTCACAAATAAACACATCACTAAAGTATATTTTGAGTACGACTTTTACTAGATTTACTATCGGAACACATCATAGACTGCCTGATTGTGTGCCAAACACATCAAAATGTACCGACTGGTATAGTCCCTTATTCCTTAGTGACACTCTCTTGACTGAATCTGCTATAGCTTAATTAAAGTGGTACTTATAAGTACCGTCAGCATATAAAGGGTTAAGACAATTAAAAATAAAAAGTGCATCAAAATAAATATTTTTTAGTGTACCATTATAAGTTGACCACCCCAAAGAAACTTATTGCAACTCGTCTAGGGGTCACGATCAATAGGTTGGGTATCAGTGGGCTAGATGTTTTGAGGTATAACTACAATGTAAATTGTCCAGCCTTTGAAAAACTATCAATTTTGAGAAAAATTTAAAAAGAATAACAATAATTGAGCTTCTTTACTATAAAATCAGTAAAGAAATTATAAAGAAAAAACAACTTACAGTTGCAAACTTGCCTATACCCTCTATAAATAAGCAAGTGAGCATAATGGCTTGTTTTTTGTTCACAAGCTTGTTATCTTGTGTGCCTTGTAAAACAATCTCAGTGTTTGCTAAAGTTTTATTTTTCAATTTAGGCTGATTAACTTCAAGATTAGCAGGAGCGAGATACTCTTGGAGCAGCATACTGAAATTAAAAGACATTCAGCTTAAATCTATCAAGAGTAATATTATAAAAGGCAGAGGCGTAACAAGGTTGTAGCAACTTGAGATCGCAAATTTCTTGATGAATAAAAATTTTGTTTAATTAGAATGTCAACAAACCATTCTTGTGATAAAAATGGAATTAAATGAAGTGAAAATGTAACAATTTTAAGATTTAACAAAACAAATATAAAAAAAACCTTTTTACAAGCTTTTAAATACACAGAAAATTAATAAATTAAAAGCACTGGTAAATGTCAACGCATTTTCAGGGAATTTAAAAACTTATTATTATAAAGATTTTTTGTAGTTGGTTTATTCTCTTATTATGATGACAAAAAATATTAATTTAAAATAAACCGGGAGTGATCTCCCCTAAACTTTCTCGAATATCCTTATATAAAACAACAGGGGATGGAAACTCGGGCTATAGACTAGATTTTTAATCCATTTTTAACACTTAAAGTTTTAAAAATAGAATAAAATATAGTAGACAAAAGCATTGCACACCAAGTGAACGCCAAATAAATAAACCGGGAGTGATCTCCCCTAAACTTTCTCGAATATTCTTACATAAAATAACAGGGGATGGGAACTCGGGCTATAGACATGATTTTTAATCCATTTTAAATACTTAAAGTTTTTAAAATAGAATAAAATCTCGTAGACAAATTAATTGCACACCAAGTGAACGCCAAATAAAAAAGCGCATAATAGTGCGCAATATTATTAGTACTTTTAAAATTTACATTAGTTTTTTGAGAAATCGGAAGTAGCGTAAATTACTACTTTCGGTCAACGGAAATTACTCAAAATTTAACAGAAGGTAGACAATTAGATGTTTTACTTACATGTGAAATTTCATTTATCTATCTGAAATAGTACTCAAGTTATAGGCTTTTGAAACATTCAAAGTAGAAAAAGTACCACTTCCGGTTATCGGAAATCGCTCAAAAGTTGATACGGATCTACGATTTTGATAAAATACTTATATATGAAATTTCATCAACCTAGCTGTAACGGTACTCAAGTTATCGTGTTTACACACGGACACACACACAGACACACACACAGACATACGGACAGAATTGCAAAGCCCGGTTTTTCAGACTGGATTACGCATAAAACCTCTTAGTTTTGATAAATCTGGATTGATAATTTTTGCCCGATTAAAATAAGTCCTCTAAACTTCGTATGTGATGAAGGACTGAGGTGTAATACGGTGAAAATTGTTAAAATTTCAAGTGATTTTTGTGCACGATTACAATACTTTCTCTATACTTCGTATATACGAGAAAGTAAAAAAGTGCATAATAGTGCGCAATATTATTAGTACTTTAAAAATTCTCTATACTTCGTATATACGAGAAAGTAAAAATAGAACCCTATTTTTTGCATTCAGTTCATTCTTAATTAAGCCGACAGCACATTCAACTAGAACTAGAATCCTGATTGGTAGATTTTGATCTAAACTCAAAAAGATATAATCTGCCCCTTATTAAAGTCAGGATGCTGAAGGTACAATTTCTATTACCTTACCTTTTTAATTTTTAAATTAATACCTCTATAGACTGTTGAGTTAGTTTGAAAATGTCATAATCTTGCAATGTCTTCAGGGACAAAATTAGAAAAGGGTCAAAATTAAGTAACAAAATTTGCCACAAACAGGCAGGAGGACAGATGTGATCTAAAAGAAAGCTCATAAATAGTAAAAAATTCTCAGAATGCCAACTTAAAAACTTACACTAAAACAATTCAGTAGATAATGTGAAATGAACCTATTTTTAGGTTGAGCTCCAGAATTCTTAGATACATCTTCCCATATAAGCAAAATACTAAAATAATTACTTACTTAATAACATCATTTAGCAACTGCTTCCCTTGATTACTTTTTGCTTTATCAAAATCACCTGTTTGAAACAGTTAATCCTGATTTATTTTGAAACATTCACTAAATCTACTAAAAATTCATTTTTGTAACAGTCATTTTTTTATGAGACCAGGGCTGCAAAGTAAGATGCAACTTAAATGTTTTGTATTTTAATCTTGAGCATAGTATTATATTGGATTTTATAAACAAAAACTTTGGCGGGCTAGCCCAAGTAGTAGCGGTTGTTAAAAGTTTGTATTTGGCAGCATTAGAATAGAATTGAGTACTTTTAAGAGTCTGTAGAAATTGGAAAACACACTTTTTAAAAGTAATTTATGTATAACATTTATCACGAATGTTATGATAGATTATAAATATCTATCATGGTGTCTCCACCTCTCCCCCCTTCTTGCTACCCCACAGGTAACCGTACACCTGAACCTGAGTCCAGCGGTATAGTAAGGATGACCGCGCCTCGACCTCGGACTGCGGTCACGAGGGCGGAGCCTGAGTCTTGTGACCTGTAGGGTAGGGAGGCCATAGTCCGGTCACTCTCCTCTCTCCCCTCTTCGGAGGTACACGCTTTTTGGTGCTAAGGCACTAGCCACTATTACATTATACTTATTTTGGTGCTACGGCACTTGTTATCCACGGAGAAATTAAACGTACGTTTGGCAACGTGTATAGAGGATTGTGTGGCTTCATTGGAAGGTAATTAACACTTACTTTTATTAGCTGTACTGTTATAATATAATCTAGCATACCCGTCCCTGCGCGTTGCCGCGGGAATAGAAGAAAGTCCGACGGAATATATAAGAAGGGTTCCATACGTTACCAATCCTATATTCTTAGACCCGTGACCTTGTTTTCTAAAAGTGAGTTATTTAAATGTAAACAATGCCTGCGCTTGGATCATAAATATCAGGACACGAGTTTACCTACACTACCGCATGAAAACCTTGAGTGTACATTAATCACTCACCGAAATAATATGGTAGAACACACTTCGGTGACCGCCCATGTGTCAGAGACGTAGAGGGGCGCTCTCAGGAGCCCATTCCCCCCCCCCCCCCCGATTACACTACCGCATAGGCGCGGCATACTACCCCTGGCTCCTTAAAACTAACAGGCACCATCGTGCCAAATAGCATCCTGTTAACAATGCAGATTGCGTCATTCGTTTAAGTGACACAAATGAACAGGATTTGTTATATAACACGTAAAAAAATTATTTGACTTGTTTTAAACATCAGTGTGACTGATGCAATATGTTAGCGTTACTAATAGTCTATTCTTAGATGCTCGATCTCAATTTCTGATTGGATTATCTAAAAATAGATGCTAATTGCATCATTCGCAAAATGACGAAACTGTTTGGATTTTTTTTTACTGACAAAAAGAAACATCCCAGTTAATAATCTAACCTTGGTTAATTTTTCTGATTATTAAAATAAAACGTATTACATGGCCCTCAGCGGCCCATGTGACCCTTTGGGGGCCGAAACAGACATTTTTATTTGCAAAATTAAATCCCCCCTTCCCCACCCACCCCTATTCCCCCTCCCACCCCTGAAACCTTCTCGGGAGTATTCATCAACTCCCTAAAGTTTTATGGCATCGGGATAAACCGTGTCGAACCGCAATCGTATTTTATTTTCATATACCGTATATAGAGAAAAATCCCACCATTCTGTGGCGCCGCCCTTGCGAAATTAAAAAAAGACGATTGTTTTTTTTACAGAAACCTTCCCTGGAGAGTTCTAATCAACTCCACAAAGTTTGATGGCGATAAGAATGACGCAGTGAAGTCGCAGTTGGCGTTTATTTTATATATACCATATATAGAGGAAATCGCACCCTCCTGTGGCGCCACCCTTGCGAAAATAAAAATTATTTTGTTACAGAACCCTTCCCTGGAGTGTTCTAATCAAGTCCCTGAAGTTTGATGGCTATCAGATGAACGTTGTGAGACCACAATCGAATTTTATTTTTATATACCACATATATAGAGAAAACAAATTGTACCCTGCCAGGGCACCACCCCTGCAATTTTGAAAATGTTTTTAAGCGTAGAAACCTCCCCAGGAATATTCTCAACATCTTCCCAAAGTTTCATGGTGATCGTGTGAACGGTGTCACAGCAATTCACTTTTATTATATTTATATACCGTAAATAGAGAAAAAACGCACCCTCCCGTGGCGCCGCCCATGCGAAATTAAAAATGATTTGATACAGAACCCTTCCCTAGAGTTTTATAATGAACTCCCCAAAGTCTCATGGCTATCGGATGAACGATGTCAAACCAAAATCTACTTTTATTTTTATATACCGTATATAGAGAAAAAAACATATTGCGCCCTGCTGGGGCGCCACCCCTGCGAATTTGAATTTTTTTCCAGCAGAAACCTCAGAATATTCACAACAACTTCCCAAAGTTTCACAGCGATGTTATGAGAGGTGTAGTAATGCATCTAAGACAGACAGACACGCACACACAAACATACATTGCTTTATATATATATATAGAAAAGTATGAATTGTGTATAAAACAATGTATGGATGAAAAGGATATTTTTTTATTACTGTTTATTGTAGGCAGAGCCGGCGTAAGGGGGTGGCGAACGGGGCGGTCGCCATAGGCCCCGCGCTTGAAGGGGCCCCGCGCTTCAGCAATGTCATTGTTATCTGAATTAGTTCGTAAACTTAAAAAAAAATTGTTGCTGAATTCAATTGGGAAAAACTAAATGGTCGAATGCCGACGTTGTTGATTGTTATAACTGAGGCCACGGTTTATGTTGGTGAGTCCCACCTGAACTGGGACAGGCCGTAATTCGATACAAAAATAGTGTCACACCTACCCTTTGTGTAGGGTACGGTCGCCTGGCATTTGACCTGAGCTGACTGGAGATGGCAGTCGAGAATTAGCCCACGACGTAAAGAGATACCCTATTGTATGCGGACCGATGAAGACTTCCTTTTAGTGAGCAGACGGGATGTCTATAGTAGACAGTTAGTGACCCGATGAACTCTAGTCTTCTTGTTGTAGATGTCGTATAATGTCGTATATGTACAGTGTTTCTTCCAGACTTTTTTCTCCGGGGGGGGGGGGGGGGGGAGGGGCACTTGAAATTTTCGGGGGAGGGGGGGGGGGCGGTAGACTTTCTTCGGGGGGGGGGGGGGGGCGGACACTGTTAAAAGTATATATTTTCCCTATAAATTATATAAATTTCATTTCGTTTTCGGGGGCTTGCACCCCCTCCCCCCCCCCCCCCCCCCCCCGAAGAGATGCCTGGAAGAAACTCTATACGTAGGCCTACTTGTCTTGGTATAACAAAAGGGGGGGGGGGGCTTAGGATCTATATCAGGCGGCATTAAACAGAGTGATTTATTATTATTTTTTGGAAGAAAGTTAAAACTGTTGTTATGTTGTGTCACCTTAAGGCAGGGGTCTCCAAACTTTTCAGTCCGAGGGCCGCATTAACAATCAAATTTCAGTTCGGGGGCCAGTTTCTTCCAGGCATGTCTTTGATTTTTCTGGGCAAAGTTCTTCAGCCATGAGCAACAAACGATTATTCCGTGGACAAAAAGATCTCCGCGGGCCGGATGAGAGGACTTCGAGGGCCGCATCCGGCCCGCGGGCCGTAGTTTGGAGACCCCTGCCTTAAGGATTCACCCGTTCAATAATTAAGACAATAATGATTTTGGTTTTAAAATATTGTATGAATTCTAAATACATTTTTTGAAGTCTATACTGTTTTGATACATCAGGCCGAGTTCGCTGTATTGTAAACTTTATTTTCCTAATTATTCGGCACGTGATTAAATTTTCTTAAGTGATTTGGTATGAATTACATAACTGTTAAAAGTGATTTAATATCTTAGCAAAGGAAAAAAAACTACGAACATTGGGTTAATACATGGGAGAGATAAAAATCTGTTATTATAGTGGAAAGTTTGACATTAGCTTATAAACTCCAAAACATTTGTGTTATTATGTGTACATCACATTATATAGGCCTTTATACAAACATATATATATATATATATATATATATATATATATATATATATATATATATATATATATATATATATATATATATATATATATATACTGGAAAGGCCCCGCGCGGATGGTTGGCCCTAGGCCCCGCGTATTCCTAACGCCGGCTCTGATTGTAGGCCCTATGTCAGGCTAACGTAAATGTAGTATTATCTGTGTTACAATAATAAAATTGTATGTCTGACGTCTGAATGAATGTTTATAGCACACATATGTTAGGAAGATTGTCAAATGTCTTTACAGCCGGCCAGCTTGGGGCTAACGCTTAGACGATACAGAGGTCTGTGTGAGCAAGTGTGACCACGCCGCCCTGAAGACCAGTCGACTTCATGTATTAAAAGTTAAATGATTGGTTAATTATTGACTCATAATTTTAAAACCTTTTACTAAGCCAAATATTGGCAACGCGGCAATAATAATTAAATAACTATTAATAAATACAATATTAATTATTAAGGTATCTTGTCCAACGAGACAACCCTAGGCCACACAAGTCATTTTGTAGCTGCGGCTATACTTATATTTATGTGCGGTATGACTCACTAGAGCATATTTGCATATTTTGTTTTTTATAAATAAAATAAAATAAACAGTAAATAAATTTTGTCAGAAAAAAGGCTGTAGTTGAAAAACAGAATACAAAGCTTTTGAAAACAATTTTTTACAGCTCTTAATTCATGTATCATTAATGAGCTCATTTGCTTTTAAAGTTCTTTTAAAAGTATCTCTTTATCAATTCCTAATAAAGATTATTGATTAGACAGATTATGATAAGAATAGTTGATCTTAGGATGTTTTAGTATTAGGTAGCATTTTTACTAAGGACTGCGAGTAGAGGTTGAAGAATATTTGCAATTTTGACTGAAATAAGCAGGTAAAATGAAGAAATGAGGATGATGAAGCTGGCGTTGATACAAAATGACAAAATGGTTGCATTAAAAAGTGTCTGTATATGAGAACTAAGCAGGCACCTGTCATCACAGACACACCCTAGGATCCAAAACTCAACACGCAAACCATGACAGCTGCAGTTATGTATTGTATATGTTTAGTAAGTTTATATTGCTAGATGAAAAAATACTTACTTGATGTTCCTAACACAAGCTCATTTATAATAAAAATTGCAGACAACTGATAAGTAGCACTTTCATAACTCAACTCAAGGAAGGTATCAACTAATATGTATAGGTCACCTGTAATTAGAAACAGCATTAAGTAAAAATGTAAATATGGTAACATGTGGATTAACATGTTAGATGTCATGTGGTTTTTGCCTTTTATTGCTGCACATTTTATAGAGTAACTGGTTTTCATAACAAGCAAGTAACACTAATAAATATATAATAAATATATTAAGCTATTAAACATGACTTGATTTTTATCTATGTTCAATACAATTTTCAGCATTATTGTTTTTAAAAACCCAATATCACGTAAGTAAGACTTACCATACTTTCCCAATTTCCAACAAATTGAAATCAATTTAGATAAAATGCTGTCTCCTTTGAAATGTGAGAAATATTTCCGAGGCCTCCAAATTTGTTGAGATATTTTGTGAAAAGGATCAAACAGTTCTATTAAAAAAAAGTTAATATATGCAATTATTAATAAAAGTTTATTGATAATATGATTTATTTCTGCCTGTCCACCCAATTCAGATGGTTACCAGACTTAAAAGGGCAGCAGAGGATAGAAACGAACAAAATCTCAATGCAGATGTCACAGAAACAGGAGCACTCTGCTTTATCTGCCCTACTGACTGTCTGAAAGTAAAAGTTTTTTTTTTTACATTTACTTCAGTGAGCGTAATAACTTCATATCAAGCAATGTCTAAATTTGCTTGACATCATATATTATATGTTGTTCATATATTAATCTGTAGCAATAATCTGCAACCATTTAGTACAACTATATTCTGTCTTAAATTTATACAGACAAACCTTTACTGTATTTACTTCAAAATAATATAATACTGTTTATTGTTATTTATTACAGATTAGTTTCTTTTATACACGAGTTAAACAATTTTTCTAACAAATAATCTGTACCTTTTCCAATAAAACATTCTCTTTGTTCCATAATTTTAGTATCTGTTAGATCTATTTCAAGAATCTGTATTAATGCCAAGCAGAATCGTCTGACATGAGGTGTGGAATAAATCACACTTTTAATTTTAGTACCTAAAGAGGAAAGGCATGGAAATATCACCCAATAAAACCACAAAATAATGCCTGTTTAGGCAAGACTAATGTTGTGCTTAAATTAAAATATAAATAATGCATTACATTAACAAAACAAAGACCTGATAAAAAAAACTAATGGATTTAATGAAATAAAATCTAAAAATATTTGTGTATGAAAAATTGAAAGCTGATGGGTATTTTAACATGCCTATTTTAGATCATAATGAATATTCTGGGAGATACCAAATGATTTTGGATAACAATATCTATAGATGGTTACCATTTTGAAAAATGTTTTAAATTAAGTATGTGCAAGTGAGAAGTAACAAATGATTCACAGGTACAGCAGTCTTTTCTAACACCATTTCTAAATGTTTGAAGTCTTTTCAGTGTGAAAACTGGCATGTTAGCAGAAAATGACTTGAACAAGCTGAAGATATGGTATTGAGAAAAAAAATCAGAAACTGTCCAGGACAAGCAGTGGCGTATGCAGGTTTCCAGGGTAGGGAGATCGTCGAGAGCACAAAAAAAGCACCAGTTTCATTTTATACATGAATTTGTTTTTAATAAAATACACTATTCTGCTATTCTTAAACTAACTTGATAAAGCTAACAGCAAGTTCAGTATCAATATGCCTTCTTACCCTTATAATTCCCATATTGTTAATTCAATGTTATTTTCATTAATGATGTAAAATAAGCAACACATCTTGAAAAGCCTTAAAATTGGGAACAGGGCATTTCCCCCCTGTCAATTACCCCCCCCCCGGATATTTCCCCCCCCCCCCCGACATTACCCCCCAGAGTAATTACCCCCCGCCCAGTAGGACATTACCCCCCCGGGACAGGGTTAGGGCTAGGGTTAGCGCTAAGGTTAGGGCTAGGGTTAGGATTAGGGTTAGGATTAGGGCTAGGGTTAGAGCTAGTTTTAGGGTTAGGGTTGTGTCTAGCTTTGGTTTTGGTTTTGTGTGAAGTTTTAGGCTGAGGTGGATGCTTAGGTTTTGGTCTTTTTCTTAAGGTTTGGATTAAAGTAGTATATAGGTATAAAATTCTAGTTAGAGTTAGGATTGTAACTTGAGAAGGGGGGGGGGTAATTCCCGGGGGGGGGGGGGGAATTGACAGGGGGGTAATTGCTCTGGGGGGTAAATACGGGGGGAAATGTCCGGGGGGGAAATATCCAGGGGGGTAATGTCCTGTAGCCCTTAAAATTATAGGAAAACACAGATGAAAACTACTTGATCTGCCCCATTTTCATTTATTTAGTTACTCATCACTGAAAGTTCTAGCCTGTTCAATTTTCATTTCCCAAAAGCGCCACTGTTTAAAAATGCTTGTTTTAATACATTTTTATTTTCTGAAGGATGCACCTTTTGTCCTAAAAAACTTGGTGGGGATTGCCCCCCCCCCTCCCATGCACTGCTCCAGATAAGCCACCCAGTACAAGTTAATAGTATCTGAATTTAGACTATATAGATCTGTGAATAATCTAAAAATGGTGTATAGAATTAGAATATTTTTAAAATCTGGTGCGATGTTATTAAAATAATTATTGTTGTAAAAACCTGTTTGATTTTTGATGACTTTACTTAAGAATAAGATTGGATGTATTTGATGTTTTACTATTTTTGGTACTAAACACATTTTTAAAAAAGGCAAAAACAATTTGGCTGTTTACATTCTATCACAGAAAATGTGAACATAATTAACAGAGCTAGGTCATGTGGTTTAAAGAAAAATTGAATTTAAAATTTTAATTGGCAAAGTTTTTAGGAAAAATTACAGTGGTACTGCAAGATACAAGTTTTTGCTTGTATGTTAAATTGTTTGTATCTAAAAGCATTTTTCCCATTGAAATTGTATGAAATGCCATTAATCTGTTCTAGCCTGTCCACAAATTGCCACTCCACTTGTTTTCATTACATATTTTGTCATTAAAACATTTTTTATGAATTTTTTTTCTGCACTTTACATTTTTTAATTATAATGGAGTTGCATGACTAAAAGCCATTGCGCACATTATGAACGTGATAGCGTGTGTATAATAGTGCGGAATCGTTGGGTAAGATTTTAATTAATAAAAACTTAATTAGGCATCCAATTGAGTCAAATTTAATGTCAGATTGCATTGTCTTAATGTCTTAACCACGTGCCAACTTTGAACCAAATCTATCAGAAGTGTCCGTAATTTCACTCTGGTGTTTCGATCTAGACCGACAGACAGACGGGACAAAGAAGAAAGTTAAATAAAAGCTTGTAAAAAGAAGGACAATAGTTACATTTGAGTTGACAAGTATGAACAAGAGTATTATCTATGAGTGAGCATTTTGTTTGAGATCCACCTCCCATTTGCTCCTCAATTGCTAATGTAAATAAGTATTGTGCTTAAAGTGATTATCAAATGAATTAGCCACATTTAAAGAGCTATATGCCAACCCATTCACATTTCTAAATAAGTCATTTACATTGATTAATAATAACAAATGAGTATTCTTTGTTTTATGAGAGAGTACCTAGAAGTGAGATATATCCATTCAACAGATCTATTAGTGAAATTTTGTTTTCTTCACCTAGAAATATAAAAATATATGTTAGATATTTGACGGATGCTCATAAATAAAAAGTTTTCTCTTAACAATAGATAAGCTTATGGAAAAATAAAGTTTATCGATCTAAAATCTATCAGAAATTCCTATCACTAAGGGATTTAAATAAGGAACTTAAAACAGTAAAAACAAAAAGCTATTTTGAATTAATAATTAGTAATAATTACATACAAGCTGTTTTTATTAATCTAGGTAGTGAAGCAGTAAGAGTGAACAAGTTTTCTTCCAGTATTTCAGCTAGTGTTCTCTCTCCTGAAGTTCCTATGTTAGATGAGCAAAAAGAATCAAGAACACTTCTTGCTTTACTAGATATACTTTCATATTCGTCCTGACTTAGTCCAACCAAAGTTTCAAGCATTGTACCAAAACAATTGGAGAGTGACCTAAAGAACACAGAAAAACACATTGATGCCCAAATATTTTTTTCAGTCTATAAGGAAATGGGGGGGAGGGAAAAAAGGAATGGAATTGCGAAGACAAAGTAAGCACAACATGATAATTAAGGAACTTCTATCAACAACTAAAGTCTAATATATTTACTAAATGGTTTGTAACACTAGTGCATGGGTTCCCAAACTTTTTCGAGTGGGGACCCTCTTTTTTAAAAAGTGATCCACGACCCCATAGAATTCGAAAGTCGAAGTAAGGAAATTAATAAACACCAAAATAAGATTTTCTAGTATAATTTTAATTATTTTGATAACTGTAATAACGCGAAGGGTGAAATTGCATGTTATTAACTAGCTTCAAAATTCGCGGATGAGTTTTTGTTGACGCCAACCTCATGTCATTCTCAACATTCAATTTATTTCTTCTTTTGGTTTTAAATTGGGGAATTGTTGAAAATCCACTCTGGCAAAGATATGCAGACACAAAAGGAACTAAAAGTCAAAAGGCAATCAATGTCAAGTTTGTTTTTAGGTATGAATGATGCATACTACACCAAAATTGTGTGAGCAGGTTTTATTATACACAAAACATGAAGCAGAATCATTCAGCAAATCCAAGAATTCATCTAGTAATTCATCAGGAATGCTGGCAACATCAAGGGAAGCAGAGAATAGTTTCAGTGTCAATGCAGATTCTTCTTTCAGCTCAGGGAAATAACACTGCAGTTTGTTTTGAAGAGATTCAAGATGCCCAGAAATCTCCTCGTTAACATTATATGTATCTCACAATCAGATTCATCTACTACACTGCAGAGTTTCTAAAACACGGCAATATTTCCAAGATATATTTTTCTTTGCCAATTTTACAGCTTTGATAAAAAATGCCCCGAGATTATCTTGAAAACAGATCATATTCGTTTGTTTTCCCTAAGGCTTCAGGTTAAGCCTATTTTTCTGTTCGAATATATCTGCTAGGTATGCTACTCTCTCCAACCACTCTTTGTCATTAAAGTTTATCAAGAGGTCTTGTTTCCCTTGCACTTCCAAGTACAACTTGATTTCATCTTTCAATTCTAAAACATGATTCAGATTTCCTTTAGACATCCAGCATACTGTAGTATAGAAAAGCAGAACCTCGTGATAAGAATTAATGTATCTGAACAGTTCTTTAATCAGACGGGTGTTTAGGGCTCCATATTTAATGTAACTTACTTATTTTATTATCGAATGAAGTGCCTCTAGCAAAGGAGTTGGAAGAGTCTTGCTGGCGAGGTCTAACCGGTGAATCATGCAGTGGATTCCCTATTGTTGGGGAGTTAAATTCATCAGTAAATAGCCCACAGACAGCTTCAAATAACTTATTTATTTTCTCCATGATATCTTCACTTTTTGCTGTAGTTTCAAGTTCACTACAAAATAGAGAATCTTCTTTGATATCATCTGAATGTAGTTCACAAAACCAAGCAACTGCAAACACCAACAGCAACATGCAAGGTTTGACGAGATTTTCTCCTATTGTGTGAGGTTTGTTTTACTTGGCAAATTCTAATGCGGCTTCATATGATGCTTGCATTGATGCTGTGCTTCCTGGTGAAAAAGTATCTTGTGTTTACAACTAGCTTGATGCCGACAAAAGAACTCCATCTTTTTTGGTGTGTTCTGGATGACTCATCCAATATACCATTTTAGTTTTGATAAGATTCTTATAAACACAAGTTAACATCATCATCTTCATTCATGTGCACCCCATGTGGAGCATTAACATCATCATCCTCATTCCAAAAGACCTCATGTAAAGCATCGGTATGTAACCAAACCTCTCCATTGTACTGTTTTGGGTGATTCCTCAAAGTTGGGTCCACAAAATTCCAGCTGCTCCTGCCTCAACTGATCTTTTCCAAGTTTGTTTTTGGCCCACCTACTTTCCTCTTTTCTTGGTTATTCCATTCTAGTAACTGTCTGGTAATGTTGCTAGATGGTTTATACAAGGTGTGTCCAATTCATCCCCATTTAAACATTAGTATTTCTTTGCCCAGTTTTTCTCCACAGTTTGTCATTAGCAATATTTTTCGGCCACCTGATGTTCAATAAGCAACACGGGCCTCCACAACTTAATGAAAGTCTGAAGTTAATCTATGCATCTCAGAACCATATAGGAGCACAAATAAAAGATTGCTGTAAAACAGTCGTCTTTTGGAGAGCATAGACAATGTTCTTAACGTCCATGTTGTGTGGAGGGTGCTGAATGGGTACAAGACATATGGTGATGCAGCTTTTGATGACCTCATCGGCTCCCCCTAGCTTAATACACAACACACTTTCTAGGTATGTGAATTTTCCACTTGAAAATTGTCTTCTTTTTTGCATCTTAAGTGGGAGCTTATTTTAATGTTAACTCTCATCGCCTCCATTTTCCCCCAGTTGATCTTTAAGTCTGTCTTAAGTGCTTATTGACAGAGTTTGTTTAGCTTGGACTGAGTATGCTGTTGTTAGTGTGACAGGAGGCTGATGATGTCCTTAAAATCTAGGTCCTCCTGCTGTTTAGCAAGGGTTCATAGAATTCCTGCTTTTAGGTCTGAGGATGTTCTTCTCATAATCCAGTCAAAGACTTTAAAAGATCATTGGCAAAAGCATGCAGCCTTGCCACTCCAGTTGTCACTGAAAATGGGCTCGTTAACTTGTTGTTGATAATCTGGCAGTTGGAATCTTCATAGAGCTGTTGGATAATGATGGGAGGGATCCCATGGTGGTTCAACCTCCAAATGATATCTCTGCTTTGTCAAAATCAAAAAAGGTCAGGTTGAGAGGCGATTGCCTCTCAATAGACTATTCAATAATTATGTGCATAGTAGCTATGTAGTCTGTACATATCATGTTCTGGCAAAAACCTGCCTGTTCTGGTCTTAATTTCTTATCCAAGATAACATCTCTATTTTACAAAATTTTCTTTAACTTGATCTGATCTGTCCTTATACTGCAATCGACAAGCACCATTTAACATAATAATAATTATTTTTAGTTTTTCAAAATCTGACTCAGAAGGGTCCATTTTTTTTTAAAGAGGCCTCTATGGATACAGCTAAAGAAATTTAAAAAAAAAAAAAGAATTAAAATATTACTTACTTACTACAGTTTGCAAGCAATAGTTCTACAAATTCAACTATTGACATTCTTACTCTCCAGTTACTGTGAGTCCTCATTGAACAAAAGACATCAACCACTTTTGCCAAATTTTGAGATGAATGTTCAACCCATTTCTGAGATCGCTCTATATACAATGATTGAATTGTACATGACAATTTCTTTTGCATTTCTGGACAGAGAGTTAAAAAAATGAATGTTCAGAGTAATCTATAAATATAAATATATTAATGATAGTTTGTCTGCTTGTCCTTTATGCATTACTACACCTTTCATTAGAGTAGCATAAAACTGGGAAGCTGTGGAGAATACTCCTGGAAGGGTTCCTGTAAAATAAATTATTTTGAAGGGGCTGCTTTGGAATTGGGCTCTCTAGTGAGCACTATGTTGCCTACTTTTGTTTTAACGAGTACAATATATTATGGATATGATGGGCTACTATAATCGTTTATTAAATTGAACCATGTGCATCCTCCTTGCCCAGGCAGTGTGTAATTTACATTTATGAAAAATATTCTTGAATTTTAGAAATTTAATGTTTAATAACTTTAAAAAAAATTGTAATAAAAATTGATCTAAGGATAGTGTTTACCAATGTAAGTTTGTGTACTCCATCTAAGGATAGTGACTCCCAATGTAAGTTTAGGTACACCATCTAAGGATAGTGTTTACCTATGTAAGTTTGTGCACTCCATCTAAAGATAGTGTCTAACAATGTAAGTATGTGTATTTCTTTTTAATGATTGGTCTTCCAACATACACTTGGGTACTCCATCCTAACTATTGAGTCATGAACTGTGCACTTTGAATTCTCCTCTGAGATGTTTAGTACTTCTTTTTGTAGATAGCGTCCCCAAAAAAAGCATTTTGTGCTCCTTTCAAGTACTGAACCTGGTGGTCGATTGCGCAGATGAATAAAGCGGGAGTGATGGGAGTGATCTCCCCTAAGCTTTCTCAAATATTCTTATATAACACTATGGGGATGGCTATTCGGGATATAGACATGATTTGTAATCAATTTTTAAATACTAAATTTAAAAAACTAAAAATAATAGAATCTTGTAAAAAAAGAATTGCGCACCAAATGAACAGCAAACAACGCATGTATAAAAGTGCTGAACATTAGTAATTTAAAAAGAAAAAAATTAATTTTCAAAGAGTTAATTAAGCAACATTTTATGTCACAATACATTATCTCCAACCGACATGAAAAGTTAAAAATAACTCGGTCTGGTAGAAGTGTTTGAAATTTTTTTCACAATTTTCTGACCGTGATGGACAATACACAGAGGAATTCATATGCATTTTTCAGAAACTGAATTTAGCATAAAGTACTACTACTGGTTACCAGAAATTACTTAAAATTTGATAGAAAACAGAGAATTAGATCAGTTACTTATAGATCTATGTGAAAATTTGTCTGACTATCAGATATAAGTACACTAGTTTTAGGATTTTGAAAAACTGAAAGTAGAATTATTTCCACCTCCAGTACCGGAAATCACTAAAAAAGTTGAAATAAAACTACTAATTTAACATAATACTTAGATATGAAATTTCATCAACCTAGCTATAACGGTACTTAAGCTATCGCGTTCACAGTCAGACACACAGACAAAATCGCAAAACGAAGTTTTTTCAGATTCAGGGAGATGTCAAACGTTATGCTTTGGGAAAACATTGATTTTGATTAGAGCGGGGTGGACTCAGGGACGACGTATGGATTAATCCAGGATCCAAACTTGAGACAGCTATGTCTGCTTTATTAGTTATTTGTATGTTGCATAAACATCGTTGGCTTAGGATTCACCAGAATGGGCTGAACTATATTCTTTTTCAAACACTACACATAAAGATCCACCAGGTATTTTGTGTCAAATTGCCAGCACTTTTATCTTTAGCAGTAGCACACACACCAACACATATAATTATATGAGAGAAATTGGGAGGAACCTAGATTTGTTTTTTCAAGAATTTTGTGAACAGCATCCTTAAATAATTTCCAGAAAAGTAACATAATACAATACTGCAAATGGTAACTAAAATAAAAAAAAAATAAGACTTAAGTAGGAAGTAAAACAAAAATTAAATATTTGCTGATACCTCTGCTCTTTAATTTTTCATCCTCTTGTCTAACTTGACATTTAACAAGAAGGTGATCTGACATACATAACAGCAGGATTTGCTGGCATACTTTAATAGCTTTCTGAAAATTAATGTAAGAAATGAATGTTGTCCAAATTTTGTTATTAAAGCACGATGAAGACATATTATAAAACCACTTAATTTATACATTGAATTTAGTCTTATTCTCTAGGTTACTGAATGCTTGAATTTAGGGTGTCGCTTGCGATTTTAAATTTTATTATTATCTAATAACACTTAAACAAATAAAAACTACACTGTTCAACCTTTAATTTGATACGAAGTTCAATTATCAAAGTTAATCGGTAGGCTAGAAAACACTTTTTCAAAATGCACATTTATTATTAAATGGCTGCTTTACCAAAGCTCTATATCTTTGTAAAACTGTGTTCCCTTTTTAAGGTGTTGTTGTAACCCAGTTTACAAGTTTAAATTTTTTTTTCTGCTATAATTTGTCCCATTCAAAGACATGGCATGCTTAATGGGAGTGGCTTTTATGGCGGCAGCCTCATCAAATTTATTTTCTTTACAAATTGTTTTTCTTCTTATATTTATTTGTTAATGATGGATATTGTTTTGGTATGAAGGATCATTGTGGATTACCTTTCAATGCAATAATGTTTAGGTGGAAAGCATCAATGATTTTAGATCATATTTAAATGTAATTCTTACCTATCTTCTGCTCAAGTTTACCCAGCATGTTGGACAACTAAATTACGAATAACTATTGCACAACAAACACTTAGCATTCATTGCTTAATTATATAAGTATTGAAGTAGATTAAGCAAAATAAAATTCATTTAATCATATATATTTGAAATGACCACTAAACTTTGTAAAATTCTTTTTTGGATGACATGATTACCAAAGTAATGATAAAATAAAGTAGGTCATGCGACAACCTACTTGAATACCAATTAAAAGTTGGTTTAGTACAATTCAGAAGTAATTCAGAACTTAAGCAGTGATTAACAAGTCATATTTTATACAATCCTCTGTAATAGCTATAGATCTTTTTTAAAAGAATATTTTTCAACATTATTGTCAATTGAAAATCTTTTCATACCACAATAACACCTTGCCCTTGTTGAGCATCTCTTTTAACAACAATCACCATGCCAGTAACAATGCCAGGCAAGCAATGAGCAAACACATTCCCAAGTTCAACTGCCTTATCCTCACCAACTATAAAAGATGCAATTTAAAAGTTTTAAAATAATTTATTTACCTAAATCATAGATGGTGGGACAGTGGGGTTTAATGGCAAAAGTCTCAAGTTCGGATCCTGGCTCTTATGAGTACCTGACTTATGTAAGGTAAAGTAAATGCAGCTGGGCTTAGTGCTGATCACACTATCCCTTCATATGCCAGGTCACTAAAACAGGTGAATTTCACCTCACCTACTCCCTGGACTGTAAGGTTAGAAAAGGAACTTTACTTTTACAAGACAGAAAAGAAAGAATAACAAATAAAGCAAAACCACACAAAAAGTACTTCTAAGTGAATAACATCACTAGTAGGCCTATATTTTGGCACTTCAGTTTCACATACAAGATCATAAATAATAAATTGAGGGCTATAATATGATGAAATATAAAAAAAAACTCATACATTTGGTATTAGTTTGCATAAGCACAAGCAAACATTTTAATGCCAAGCTTTGATATTCTCTTGATTTTTCAAGTTTAGCTATCTTAAGTAGAATGGTTATAAGCTGAGCTAATGATGGCATGTTGTCAAGTATATAGAATTCATCCAGTATTCTGAAAAAAAAAAACAAACTATATGTAATGTACACAGTCCAACAAATTAAACATGCCACTAAATTTCCAGTGTCTCATTATAAAACATGAAAAAAAAAGCTCACTTGTCACAAGTCACATTTATTAACTGTATGATTGTTTCGATAACAACTAATGCAGTTTGCTCTGATACCTTAACGGAATCTGAAAGTATAACATATCAAAATGCAACAGTAATCTGATTATTAGTATGCATTCTATATCAGTGGTTCTTAACCTTTTAAAGGTACCGAACTCCCTTCAGCTTCATGTACACAATCACCAAACCCTTCTTAATAGGAAAAATAAAACATGATTTTTTAAAAATTCAAACATAGGTATGTATTTTACAGTTCAGAAATGTGCAGCTTCACCTAGAATTCAGTGTTGTGTTCTTGTATTTTCAATTTCCATGTAGCTTAACCCTGACGGTACTTATAAGTATAGTTTGACTGTTAAATCAAGTAGTACCCCTGACCACATGCGAAGGACATCCAGTCAACAGATCCCAGGTGCAAAGTTAGCAGCTGCCAAATAGCACCATAATTCCAGGGTGAAGCCTCAACAAACATTTTTTAAATTGCAGAAACCTCCTCAGGAGTATTCTAAACAGTTTCCTAAAGTTTCATGCCTATTAGATAAAGGTGTAGTAATGCATAATAGGCAAACTTTTACTTTTACATCTAATGAAAATGTAGTTTTTCTTTCTTAGTTTTTATTACAAAGGTTTAGATTATGGTTTTCTTTAAAAATTTAAAAGAGCAACATTTTATTGTAATAAAATAATAATAATTAACTTCACATACAAATGGTTCTTTACAAAAGTGGCTCAACAAGCCTGTTTTTAACAGTGAAATATTTATAGTTAAGTATTATTACCATGCAATCTTGAACATTCTGTCTGTTCTGGGTGAGTCAATCTAATGATAAGATTGTTGAAGATGCTCTTCAATATTGCTAAATTAACAATTTTGGATTTTCTTAGAACAGCCATTAGTATTTCACACAATGTCATCAGCGATGTGTCAGATCTAGTAATTTATAAATATAAGAAAGATATAATAAAATCTTTAAACAATACATGTTCACATGGTTTTTAAATTGTAAAACGACAGTCAATTAACTATTTTCTTTTTCTTTGTTCTTAATTGTAATATTGCAGGGAATTTCTTCCAATACAATTAAGTATTATGTGTTTATACGTAAAAACTGAGTTTGCTCTAAGAATAAGTATACTATAAACACAAAACCTGCAACACGTTAATTTTATAAGTCAACATTTTTCCCAATGTATACTTTAGCGTTCGAACTTGCACAGCATTTACACTTTCAACAGATATACTATACTTGACCTACTTATATGTATACTATACACGAGCCGACCCGCAGCGTATCATACGCCGCTATTTAGTTGTTTTATTTTCTACTTTTCAGTAATTCATAATTTGTGAATTCGACAGTACCAATGCTGCCACTGAAAATATTTGCTTTAAAACACTAACCCCCCCCTCTTTCCCCTAACCCCGACCCTACACCCCCCCCCCCCCCTCTGTGAAAGCAGCCTCCTCTTAGTTAATTCTTAATTACCCCCTGTAAGTTTAAAATCGAACTAAATTATCTGCCACTAATAGAAACCCAGCTGTACTACGGCTCTACGATTTGTAAACATTTAGCTTTGTAAAAATTTAGAGTGAACACCGCTCACCAGACAATGTTGGGGTGGGGTGGGGGATGGTAGTGAGGAGTGATAGTGATAGAGAGAAAGAGAGGGGACTGCAAGGAGGCGCTTGCAGCTTGTTTTCTAACTGATCCCAGAAGAGAATTATATATATAGATGTTATGCGTAAATGCCACATCTTCTGAGTAGCTGAGTACAAAAACATCAGACATGTTCTGATTTTTCAGACACATGTGCATGTGTCGAAGCATAGTAAGCATCCTAATTGCTAGCACTCAACTGAATTTTTGAGCACACACTGTTAAATGTATAACTTCTATCTACTAAAAAAATATTTTTTTATTAATTACTAATAATTTCCTTCATTAAATCACAAACACGTTTTAATGAAATATTTAAGGCTTAAAGAATTTTGCATTAAACCAGTTTAGACTTTAATAAAAAAAACAGGTAATTATAAAATATAATTTAAACAAATTTACTGTTGCAGCCAGAAATTTCTGTGCTACAAAGAAGCAAATTAATTTATCCCTCCACCCAGGTGTGAGGAGTACCTGGCTTACCTTGGAGATTTTCAATACACGTACATACAAGTATCAATTTTAAAATTAAAATTTAAAAAAAAAACAACTAGTTCTAAAAAAAAAAATTGATCTAAAATAAATTAAACACTTTAATTGATGTGACAGCCAGTAAGGTACTTAAATAATTCCTAAATGAAAAAAATATTGTATAAGTTTGCTTTATTTACAAATTTACAATTTCAATTCTAAATACAATACAGCATAACTTTATACTCACAGTTCTGTTTGTAACCACACTTGTATTGGAAAAATTATATAACTTTGCAATTCTTGAATAATCTTCTCATTCAGCTTTAGCAACACTGATGTGAGGTCTCTGGCATTTTGATGGGTGATTTCTTTTAAAAGTGCAAGAGTCAAAGGGCATAACTCATTCACAGCCTCACATTTCTCATTCTCTTGATCATTCATTTTGATACAACTGTAACTGTGTAAGATAAAAAAAAAAAGCATAAAATGATTAATATTTAATCCTTGATTGCATTAATACATTATTATCATCTAAGCTTTGAGTACTTAGAACCTGACATTAAGTAAGTACTACTGTTACAGGTATTTTGTGCAGCTTTAAATTGATATATTATTACAAAAATAAATCTCACAAATGAATAAAATGCACTAAAAAGTAAAAAAAATAAATTTAAATAGGTGTAACTATACTAATGCTATACGCGGGTATGACTAAAATCAAATAGAAAATAGAATAAAAACTAGAATCAACAATAAAATTTTGAAAATGATACACAATACTAATGACGTCATTGACCATAGAGACACCTTATTTATTTGTCTATGTAACCCTCACTCAGTGGGGATGCTTTTACCCACTGAGGTGTTGTGGTTAAGACGGGCTGACCCTGAGATTAAGGACAAATTGAAGCTACGCTGTTGTCCACTAATTGACTTTATTCAACAGTACATCGAGCCACGACGGCGATGTAGAACAACAGTAGTACGATGATTAGAGATGAATAATGAAACAAACCAAAAGTAGAAAAAAGAAGAACTGTAGCCCTAAAACAAATGTAAACAAAAAGTTACATCAATGATAACACCACGTGTAGGCTACAAACATACAAGGGTGCAATAAAATATGTTGCGGCCAGTACACAGTACTGCCAATAAGTACCAATAAGTAGTACAATAATAAATACTTGAATAACTACTCAACCTAACTACTGTGCAACATGCAGCACTAGCAGGAATACACAAATAAGTATTCTAACAATAAACATAATTTATATAACCACACTACCTTCATTAGGTCTACACTAGGCATGCTGCCCAGCTTCGCTTAGGCTTTCGAAAACATTGAGAATTTGAATGCTTAATTAATTTGCCCGAGGGTCGGTCTACGACCTCAAGAGTTATGAAGAGGTTCCTCCGTGGACATTTTTTTTTCGATTTATAGCTCATATAAGGTACCGGTCAGTCGAGGTCAGTTTTGACCCCCTCATCGTAGACTTTTCGGCCAACCGGCCCCCGTGCTCTGTCGCCCCAAGGCAAGATCCTGCCAAATTTGAAGCGCCTGCGGCGCCGGGAAGTGCCTTATCGGACACCCGACAATCTAGATCTAGATTCCTAATTGAATTTTTTTTTTTAAGTTTAGTCCGAGCAAAATTAAAAAAAAATACATTAACCAAGTTGACTTGGTGGGTCTCGAACCCGCACCACCTGCGTGGTTTATAGTACACTAACATCTCCGCTATTTAGGCACCTTATAAAATACAGAGAATGAAAGACGTAATTTAAAATCTTAACTTACGCGAATATGCCTATTCTTTCAAATTAATTTTTTTATCCCAAATTAGCCAGTTCCAAACAAAGATTTTGTATAAATAAATGTTATGAGTTTAGGCCGGAAAAATTGTATTGTATACATTTCATAGTGTACGTAGATCTAAATCAAATTTGAATGAAATAGTTCATTTCTTTTTTATTCTAAACACGGCAGATGACGTCATTAGTAAGCAATAGTGTCGTCACAGTTTTATGCGTTCTTTTACACATCTATTAATGCTTTTCCCGTTGCATAAATAATACTGTTTCTCTATATTCGAATACGCCTTTATTTTATATTTTTCTTCTTTAAATAAAATTGTGGTTATACATTTAAAACATCTAACATATTATTTTCAACAAAAGTCCGTATAAAGTTCTCCATATATTGCTGCCGTTTCTGACGTGATGTCCGGCGAAAATTTTTTGCGGACAGAGAGACAGAGAGAGAGATGTGCGAACGTGGCCCATTATAGTATTAGATTGTTATGTCTACCTCTTGGTACCTTCACCCTCCGTGTCCACAGCCACCAGCCTTGCGTGTGACTGACACGGCTAGGCATGAACTACCCAGGTAAAAATCGCTCACAGAAGAGCATGCAAAACAACTACATCAACAGGGCTACGGCCCCACAGGGGCCACAACTCAATGAATTAAAACTTTATTCTTATATTAGATGTAACACATATGGTTACCAGCCAAGGGGGGCTTGGCTGTTAACCATATGTGTTACATCTAATATTAGAAGAGTAGCTAGATATAAAAAAACAACAGCAAAAGTAAAACATATGTAGTTAGGTTAAAGGTTAGGGTTGTTATAAGGTTATTCTGGTTAAATTTCCGAATCAGGTTAAAATGCTGTCTATGAATAAAGCTCAGAATTTTTGGTCACATTTTCATTTCCAGTTAACATTCCATTGCAGATTAAATTTTATTTCCATTAAAATTTCTGGTTCTAGAAAAAATGTATAGGTTTCCGCTTTTTAATTTTGTATTCAGTTAAAATATCATTTTCGGCTAAACTGATATTTCATTTTATTAAATTTCCGGATCAGGTCATGACTGTTCCGAAAAAAATTACGGTTAAGATTTCAGTTTAATTTCTGGTTCTGGGTAAAGCTCTGCTTCAGTTATATTTTAGTTTCTGGTAAAAATTTAGCTTTTGGTTGAATTTCCGGAACCATTTAAAAAGGTGGTTCTGGATAGAGTTCCATTGTATGTTATATTTCGATTCAAATTAAATTTTAGTTCCAGATAGATTTACAGTTCTGGTTCCGAGGTTTAGATTTACATTTGGGTTGAAGTGTAAACATTGATTTGGTTTAGAGCAGGGGTTCCCAACCTTTTTTTACTCTAGAGCACATTCTAAAATATCGGTAGGGTGGCGGGCACCACCTATTTTAAATCGACAAACTCCTTCCAGAGGCGTAGCGACCCTTCACGTCACCCGGGGACAAAACTTTCGATTTGCACTCCCCTCAAATTTTCTATTTGCACCCCCCCTCTCAAACTTTCGATTTCCATCCCCTTCAACCTTTCAATAATGTTTATGAAAAATATTCTGTCTCTGTCAAATAGTGAGAGGCGGGCAAATACGAATCGTTCGGCGGGCGCCATAGCGCCCGCGTGCACGGGGTTGGGAACCCTTGGTTTAGAGAAAAGAAAGTAACGCTGATTTTTAGCTATTTTGTTTCTTTCTTTGCTTTATCACAAATGTTCTTCAAAATGTAGTACTGAACAATTACTATTATAAGATATAAGCCTACCCGCTCGTAGTTGATTTATTGGTTTATTTTCTACTTTTCAGTAATTCATGATTTGTGAATTCAACACCACCTTCATGCCGCCCCCCCCCCCCCCCCCCCCCATGAAAGCAGCCATCCGTGATGACAGTTTACAGACGACAATGAAAAGATCAAGCAGAACTTGTTAGCTCCCCTTAGTTTCAAATAGTTTAAAAACTAGATAATCTGCCCCTAATAGCTGTCACTAATTCAACCAGTCTCAATGATTGTAAACATTCGGTGTGAGCCACAGCTCACCAGACTGGTGGGGGTCATAGCAATATGATCTGTTGCGCATGCCTGGAGAGCGAGGGAGGGGGCAGAAGGAGGGTTAGATAGTCGGCTTACATTGTGGTGGTGTCCACGAAGATAATTATATATATATAGATATTTCTTAAATAAGTATAGATTTTTAGCGCAATTTCCATTCTGGAGAATTGCGTTTATTAACTCGTCTTTTCTGGGAATGGATGGATGTGTGTTCGCAGCTTTAAGTCGTATCTCCTCCTCAACGAAGCAATATCGAGGACTAGTTCCAAAAGCAAATTTGTTAAGCAAGTTCCGAGGATGATAGTGGGCCAAAAAAATTCCCGGAATTCCTTCCTGGATTTCACAGAAAAGCCAAAAAACCTCAAAAAAATGCAGTTTTTGGCCCATATCTCGGCAACCAGACCACTTAGCGACTTGAAACATTTACCAATCGATTCCTGCCATAATTTAGAACAATATTGCCGAGGAAAGTTTTCAAAAATATCCTTTCGTTTGGTCACAAATTTTAAAATTACATAAACACCTACAAACCGATCGTTCTCCTAGCTTGAACGCACCCCAGCATTATACATCAGAGCTATTTTTAGATAACATAAGGAAATTGCGCTAAAATTGTCACTAGACTTTTTAATTAACTTGTTTAAGATATCTATTCCTGTTTGTGCCCAAGACATTTGAGGCAGATGAGGTAGAGTTAATGTTTTAACGACCACGGAATACATAGGAAAGTGTGGTCAGTACTATGATGACCAACAGCCTTAGTTTCCTTAACATGAATCAGGTACTTATAAGAGCTAACTGTACATATGGAGGTCCTACAGATTTGATCCTGGGATCCGAACTCAAGACTTTCGGGTTAGCAGTCGTAAGTTGTACAGCCTACACAATATAATTCACAATAAAAAATATAATGTACAAAAAGTTAGGGGAAGATGACAATGTGAAATCATTAGAAAATAAACCGGGAGTGATCTCCCCTAAACTTTCTCGAATATTCTTATATAAAACAACAGGGGATGGGAACTCGAGATATAGTAATGATTTTTAATCCATTTTTAAATACTTAAACTTTTTAAAATAGAATAGAATCTCATAGAAAAAAGAATTGCCCACCAAGCGAATGCCAAATAAAGATGTGTATAATAGTGCGGAATATTATTAGTACTTTATAAATTCACATGCATTTTTTGAGAAATCGGAAAGAGTGATAATTACTACTTCCGGTCAACGGAAATTACTCAAAATTTGACAGAAGGTAGAGAATTAGATCAGACATGCCTACCCCTGTCAGCCAAAAGTAGGAACAGTTATGCCTAAAAAGAGGAATTTGAAGCCAAAAAGAGGAACATACGCGCAGGCGCAACTTTACTAAGTCAAAAATAAAAATAATTAAAAATTACTCTAATGACATTAGTAAGCTTCTAGTCCTATATAACTAGTCTCTAGGATACATTTAAATACTGCTTAATGTCAGCTTACATTTTAAAAAATAAATTAACCAGTAAACCCCCCCCCCCCCCCCGAATAAAAATCATAGCTTTGACATAACATTATTGATTTGATTATTTATGTCTTGCTATGTTCTAGGCTATA